AAAAAAAAAAAAAGAATGGACAAAGAAAATGTGTTATATATACTACTCAGCTATAAAAAGAGAGAAATCATGGCATGTGTGGGTCCCAAATAAACAAAGGTCAATGTTCTCTCTGATACATGGGTGCTTAACCAAAACAAGGGAGGGTAGGGAGGGTAGGGAGGGGAAGTATATCAGTTCACTGGATTAGATGAAGGGAAATGTAGGGAAGGGAAAGGTTTGGGAATAGGAAAGACAGTAAAATGAATTGTACATAATTTCCTGTGCTCATATATGAGTACACTACTAGTGTAACTACATCGTGTACAACCACAAGAATGGGATCCTAATTGAAATGGATTGCAATCCATGTAGGTATAGTATGTCAAAATACACCCTCTAGTATCATGTATATCTTAAAACAACAAATGGAAACAACAAATAAAAAAAATAAAGCTAATGCAATTTGGATCACCACCCTTAAAAATAGAAGAAGTTCTTGCTACTAACTATAATTTAATATCCATTGATCAATCTTTATCCATTCCTGGCCTCTGGTACTGTCATTCTACTCTCAACTTCTGTTACCTCAACTTCTTAAACTCCACATATGAGTGAGATCATGCTTAACTTGCATTTCAATGCATGACTTACTTCACATAGCAGAATGATCTCCACTTACACACATGTTGTTGCAAATGGCAGGATTTCATCTTTTATGGCTGAATAGTGTTCCATGTGTATATGAACCACCTTTTCTGTATCTGTTTATCAGTCTATAAACATGTGGCCATTTCTTGGCTGTTTTGCTTGGTGCATCAATGAATATGAAAGGGAAGTTGTCTCTTCGACATATCAATTTTATTTCCTTTGTAAAGATACCCAGGAATGAGGTCGCTGGATCATATGGTAGTTATATTTTCATTTTTTTAGCAACTTCCATACTGTTTTCCAGTAACATTCCCACCGATAACATGCAAACATTTCTTTTCTTTCTTCCACAAGCTCACCAGAATTTATTAATTTTTGACTTTTTGGTTATAGTCATTCTTACTAGAGTGCTGTGATATTTCAGTGTGGTCTTGATTTGCATTTCCCTATTGATGAATGATGTGACCAATTTTTTCATATACCTTTGGCCATTTGTACGTCTTTTTTGAGAATATCTATTTATGTCTACTGTTCATTTTTATATAAGATTATTTTTTCTTGTTTTGATTGTTTGCTATTGAGCTTCAGGAGTTCCTTATATACTCTGGATATCAACCCCTCATCAGATGTAGAGGTGGCAAATATTTTGCCCCATCTGAAGGCTGTCTCTTCATTTTGTTGATGGCTCCTTTTTTATACAAAAGATTTTTGTTTGATACAATAGCATTTTGTTTATTTTTGCTTTTGTTTCCTGTGCTTTTGAGATATTCTTGAAAATATCCTTGCCAATTTCAGTGTCCTGAAGCATTCCCATGGTATTTTTTCTGTAGTTTTATAGTTTCCGTTCTTACATTTACATTTTTAATCCATTTTGAGTTGCTTTTTGTAACAGGTGAGAGATT